CACGCTCCTTCTAGAACCCAGTTTAAAGCACTATTAGACATTTATTTATGCGAATCCTCGCGCTAGCGAGCATTCTGCCCCGCGCTGAGAACATAAAGAGCAGTGCTACACCCTTTTTTCACTTGTGCCTTTCAGGTGAACGACAGCCACTGACCGACAAGAACAAAACCGACCCGGGAAACTTGGGCAAAAGCCTCGACCCTGTGTATCATTCCGTGAATCCGTGAATGTCTCCTATATTTGTGCAGGACATTTTTGTTTTTCAACATCACAGGTTGATCACTGCCGAACTAGACACCAGTTCTGTATCAATCCGTGAATCCGTGAATGTCTCCTATATTTGTGCAGGACATTTTTGTTTTTCAACATCACAGGTTGATCACTGCCGAACTAGAACACCAGTTCGGATCATATTTGTTTATTGAACCTTTCTAAAAATCACTGCATGCTCACTAAAGCACAGAACGCTTGTGAAACCCGTGAACCTGTTGATCGTGGTCTACGAACTGGTCTGCTTGTTTTACTACGCGTCTTGAAGGCTGACCCTGAAATGTGGGTGATCGCTCGCCTCGTCCTTGGCTGGCGTGCTGTTTTTTTTCCGTTGCATCTAATGGTCTAGCTGGGAATATTTATTCTCCTGCTGTCAATGTTGTGATGTCAGTCCGGCGTTACACAGACCCTGTCTACCTTCAGTACATCTGGAACGCTATTTTGGACGTCCCGAATAGCGTGTCCGGTTCCACCTTGCAGGACCTGTTGTCCGCAATTCAGTCGCGCTACGATCAGAAGTGCACTTCCTTTAAACTCCAGCATGAGCTTTCCAACGCCATTCAGGATGGATGTATTGAAGAGGATGGTGGATTATACTCACTTGTGGAAGGATTTGAGTGTATTCAAAAAGATAGGAGTGACTGGTTAGTTTCCCCATTCTGGTGTTCAATTCTCGTTATTTCCGTAAAAGTTTTCATACTAACACAGTACCTCCGTGGTCTCGGCACTGAATTTTCACCCCTTTACCTGGTATAGACCATCCACACTTGCCCCTAGTTTGAATCAAAATGGCGGGCTGTGGCTATCTCTGATAGCCAGGGTTGTTAGTTTTGAACCAAAGTTTGGTATATTGCTACCGGGTACAAGAGACCTGGAATATAGAGTCTCATTGTCAACAGTGTCAGAAGTCGGCGTCGAGCAAGAAACCTCAAAATCAGGTGGCGGTGTGGGGTGCCTAAATTCCGATTGTTGCGTATCAGACTCAGATAGATCTTAATTTTAATCTGGGTTATATCGCTTCACACATTCTCCTCCATCAAGTCTTTTTTTAATCTAAAGTCCCCCAAAACCATCGCAGAATATCCTACTTTTCTGGAGACGGCCGAGGGAAACACGTCTCGAGGTGCGTGTTTGCTTCTGTGTTTCGTAGTTACATGTTACTCTCCGCGGCTCTTCGGTTAGTGCCACGGAATATAGTTCGACTTTTTTCATGGTCTGATGCATACGGTCTCACCATCCCTGGTTTCGTGTCACTTGCTTATCGTGTACGTCCCAGACTCTCACGTCAGTGACGGAAAGTGCAGTTCGTATTAGTTTGACCAAACATGCTTGAGTTTCTCCATGCGTCTGTTCCTGAGCGATAGGGAAATGCTACTTAGGTCTTCGATGGCAGTGAATTTGTGCATTATGTGAATTTGGGATTCTGCTTTACATGTGACACATTTGTTTAGAGTTTTATACGAGGGAGTGGTTTCTTTTCATCCAATTTCTGCTGTTGGTTTCACGGCCTTGGGCTACACACAACCGATTAGCGTTCACATATGTCCAGTGTTATCTGAGCTAATGAACCGTGTATCGTTGTTCAACCAATACCAAGCGTTGCAACTCGTGTCTGGAATGTATTCCATTTAACAACGGGTAATGATGAGTACATCTGTATCTGACCTTTGTCCATCTACACCGAACCAGTACCGGTCTATAGCGAACTGTTGAAACCAGGTTTACTGAGTAAGTATTGCTATCAGGAGTATCTACTAACGGTATCTTTTCTGCCTTGCGTGCATAATGTAGTAGTGAAAAAAATCGTTCAGCTGTAGCACCCTTTCGGTGCCTAACTGCCATGCCACCCGAAGGAAGCACGAGGGCTGGGGTACTGCCAGGTTGCCCAAGCCTAGACAGGGGAAGTCGAGAGGCGGAGGTCGGGTTCGAACCACGAACCTTCCGGTCAGTAAATTCGCACCCTACCTACTTGGGCCATGTAGTAGTAACAGAAGTGAGAGAATCCATGAGCGTACCACTCATGAGTGATACGAATGAATTTGATCGATTTGATCAGAATCTTGCCCTTACTGCAGTAAGTGATGCCATTCAATACACGCACGTTCACGCCATGTTCGCCTCAAGTAATTAAGTCCCTGTAGTAGTTAAAGCAAAGTCGATAAGATTCAGAAATGGCTGAATAATGTAGCTAACAGTCAACACAGTACTTAGGGCTCGCGATTTACTCAGTTCAAAATTTCAATCTCCCCTTGTAAATCGATTATTATCAACCATTCGATTTCATCCTCTCTGTAGGATTTGCAGTCTTCAGGAAAGTTGGAACAGAGATAAGTGCTGACAATTTTGCAAACTGAATTGTAAAATAGCTTGCAGTCGTGAAGACTGACAAGGTCGGTATATGTAGAGCTGAGGTAACTCAGACAAACCCTTCAGTAGTTCAGGCAGCGGAATCACATTGCTCGTCCTTCTGGAGGCGAGACGGCCCAATGGTTAGGGCGTCAATTTACTGTCCGGAAGGTCCATGGTTCCAACACGACCTCTGAATCTTTACTTCCTCTGTATAGGCTTTGGCAACCTGGTGGTATCCCAGCTCTCGTGCTTTCTTCGGGTGACATGGGACCTAGGTACCGAAAGGGCGCTACAGCTGAACGAACTTTTCTCTTTCTCCTCGTGACTGAAAACACGTCAATGCTCGACACCGTTGTTTTTCTCCCGTACAACCACACCATTGATAGCTCATTATCAATGTTTAACACTGGTGCTTGGCTGCCATGTACCATAATTCATTTGAAATCCCTACTGGGAAGGAGAGAATAAGAGTGGATAAGGAAGGCGGCTTCATGCTAGCTTATCGCAATCACTGGTGGCGAGATGACTCAGTGGTTAGAACACTAATTCACTGACCTGGTGACCCGTGGTTCGAACCCAACCTCGGCATTTCGATTGCTCCCGTCAATGCTTGGGCGACCTGGTGGTATCTTGGCTCTCGTGCTTTTTTCGGGTGGCATGGCAGCTGGGTATCGGATTTTGGGATTCTAGCTAAATTTCAGCGAATTTCACGTCTTTAGGTTCTTACTCTATTTCCTCACTCGCAAATATCCACCAGATTAACCTTGGCAAGACTAAGTTCGAATCCGTGTGAAGGTCGTATGCGTACTCAATCTATGTGAACGAACACTGAGAGCAATTCCAACCCGTAGGCATTAGAGGCTGCGAGTGACTTCCATAATCATCTCAGTGGGTGAGAGGGGGTGAAGGAGAGCTGTACAGTGTCTTAAAGAGAGTCAACGATTTGTGGGAACACCTCTGATCCATAGACACTGTCATAGTGCCTGGCGGTCCACAGTGTCAATAGCAACTTTCGAATCAAGGAACACTATTGTCGGTTGCCGTAAACATTGTTGCTGTTCCGGCGTGTGTCGAAGAATGAATATGTGATCGATGCAGAACGGAACCCACTTGGTTTCCACGGATCTGCCTTTCCCTGTGTTCATTTAACCTTCGAAGGATAAGACCAGAGAGCACTTTTGATGCAACGGCTACCAGGCTGATGGCATGATGGTTTCCTTCCAATATTCGCGTACCCATTTTGAAAACAGGAATAACTGTCTACGTTTCACTACGCGTTTCACTTCATATAGTCCCAGTAGGATTTGTCAGGATTTGTTTGCGGAAGAAAAAGCCTTCTCCACCTCCGGAGCTTTCATTATCCATCAAACCTTTGGGTCTTTCCACAGGCTTTTTATTATTTGGCGTTTGAGGAATTTGTGTACGCCGTTACACCTTGCCTGATGGTATGGATTTTTTAGCATCAGTGAAAACTAGTGATCTTGATATCCAGTGGCCATTTGGTTGTATAGAGGAAGTCGGACGGATGGTACCAAACGCCACTAGCATAGCTGCTTTCATATTTTACCATGCTTTGCCCACGTGCTCGCTACCAGCACAGTGCCAGCTTACTCTAGGGAGTAGTTGAACTAGCTCAGATCGATACATTGAGCTATGGTAGTTCTCGGAAGATGGAGGATTGACATGTTGGTTTGCGAGGGCCTAAAGGGAGACAAACCGTTAGGCCCCTGATCGGTATCAGGTTATGTGCCCCGGATGGAACCATCAATCTTGAGTTGTGGCTCTTCACCGATGGCAGATGGCCGCGTGAACCAAATGGATCCGAGGTTGGTGGCCTCTAGGTTGCGCAATGGGAGTGTTTATGTTGAAAATTCGTGTTGGCAGTAAACAGTTGGCGATTAGAACACAATTGGAAGAGTTGCTCTTCGTTTCCTGTGCAACGAGAATCGACTCCGAATCGACCATCCAGAGTCCAGGGAGCTCACACGGCGGACATTTATGGACATTCATGTCACCCCCAAAGATAACAATGTCAGTTCTCGCTTGATGAGTGAACCCGGATAAAGTGTATCCTCAGCGACAGAACTGCAATATGTCGGGGCACATGCCGATACCACAAGCAGGTGCCTTTTTCACATCTAGAAGCACTGAGCTCGATTGAGCTCGGAAACCGAACAGCTCAAAGACGATCGTTCACCAGAATCCCATCCAGCAAAGCCCTGGGGCTGCCTGCAACTCTCACACCACATTCTACGAGTCGTCGCTTTTGGATAACCGAAATGGAGAGAAATCTGAACCATCTGATTTCGTTCTTGGTGTTTTAAGATGCGTGACCACGCTTGTGTCTTCTATGAGTGTTTTAGAGGCACAGCACATATCAGTTTTAAAGTCTTGTAAGGTCTGCGCAAGCATTGCCTGTTTTCCAACCTAGTGTAAAGTATGGATGTTAAAGGCTTCTATGTAGAAATAATTTCATGGATTAGCAGTGTTGTTTTATTCTGTGTCAACGGGCAAACTTTGCTTGACTGCTGGGGAGAGACACCTGTGGACAAAAAAGTGTGCGGTACTCCTAGGCCGTGGAAGTAGATTTAGTTGAGGTACCCACCTTGATCCTTCGACTCAAAAGTCTGGCCAGCGAGACAGCAGGTAGGAGGGTTTTCTTTGGGGACCCCATGTGGACCGATGACTCAACAGTCGCACTTACTCGACTACATGGGGTTGGTCCTACCCAAAGGGGCGGGGAGCAAGGCACTACTGTTTGATTCCAATGCGGCTGTGCACAGGAGGTAACTTCTGAGCAACATTAGTCTCCGTTTTAAAAGTATTTCGACCGTGCTGAATGATGTGCAAGCGTTCACAGCCAACCGTTGGACGATCCGAGTGTACGGTTTTTCAGCTGGATTGTTTAACCTATCCTTCCCAAGGGGAAGGCAGCATTACTGCTTCCATAAATATGGATATGCTGGTCGCGTGAAGGAAACAACATACTGCCTTCACGATCACGCCCTAGACGACTACAACTTTACCCGCAGACCTCCTCGAAATACGATTACTCGCATTGCGGGGTCTCACTGCTCTTGGTCTGACTGGTCTCTTTTGATTTTCCTTGCGTGGTTGCCCCTTGTGGAATGAAGCCCATGTAGCCCCCGGTATCATTGCAGCACTCAAGTCCAACCACCACTTCACGGTGTCAGCTTGAGGTCAGGACTGTTTGCCACAATTCGATCGATTCAATTCATCAGCTATAAACCGTGTACCATAGGCACGTTGGTTCCAGCTGCTACAGCTTCGATTG